CCGTGGGTGCCCGCCGATGGCCGTGGACCGGGTCGGGACATTCGTGACCGAGTCCCGGTCCAACAAATTACAGTGGTAGAGCGGGAAAGAATAGATCCAGATATCATGCTGTCGTGTTGTATTTCATGCCGTTATGATCTCTCCGTGGTTTAAGAATCAGCTTTACACCGTATGTTTTTACAATCCTTTGTTTTCCCTTCTTTTGTTTTATTTTTTAGGGCTGGTAAAGTTTCAGCCATCCCTCTGGCCTTGGGATTCAGTGAGGAACAACTTAAGAAGCGCCTTGACTGAGATGTGTGTGTTGTATGATGTTCTTAGTATTGTCAAGGATAAAAAGTTTATGACTCTAGATCCGGTTGTGCAGGATCCCCTTCCTCCAAAACAGGTATATTGTACCTAGTTGTGTAGTTTTTAAGGCTTGATGCTAAAGATTTTATTCCACTGGGATTTTTCACGTATGATACATGCAAGATTTAGTAAACTGTTCCCTGTGATGTGCTGGTACAGTGCTTTATGGGTCAGGGGAAGGCTGAGAATGGGAGGCGAGGCTGATTTCACAGGCCTCTTTGCTGAAGCTGTAAGTCAAAGCACTACTTGTGGCTATATAATATTGTCATGAAAGTTACTACTGAACTTCCAGCAAAACTAAGTTATCAGTCACTGTCACTTAGTTCCACTAATAATAATTTTTTGAGAATTAAAATACAATAAGTTTTTTTCTCTTTATTTGTTACTAGAATCCTCAGTTTCTACAGTTGATTTCAAAAAAGAAGTCATTAGCTGGAGCAGCTCAAATCCTGTTGAAAGGCGCTGAAAGATTATCCAAATCGGTGGCAGAAAACCAGGAAAATAAGCGACAAAGAGACTTCAACTCTGAACTGCTAAGACTGAGACAACATTGGAAGCTGAGAAAAGTGGGAGACAAAATTCTTGGCGATCTGAGCTATAGAAGTGCAGGTAAACAGTAGGGTCTTTTTTTTTTCTCAAGAATGGATATTTATATTTTACAAGTAATTTTTTTGTAACTGGGAAAACAGATGGAATATTTTTAATAACAAATAATATCAGATAATAAAATATTATTATAGTTATGACACAATTGTAAAAGGAGGAAACTTGTGTTATTATCAGGGAAAATATCCTGCCATCCTCAATCTAGAAAGTGATTTCAAAAGCTAGCTGTGTAGGATTACAGTAGAGATTTCTTTACAGAAGCAATTCTGCATTGACAATGTAGCTGATCAATTGACAGGTAGACCTTGTAAATCTCTGGCTTTTATCTACATTTGGTCTGTAAAGCATTTTTAGAAGATTGAGGAGCATCTTGCATTTTTCTCTGAGTGAAGACAGAGTTATCGTACCTATTATTGCTACACTTGTGAGAAATTATACTGAGAATATGCATTATTTCATGGATTACAGTGAGAGAGGGTAACCAGCCCAGAGTTCTAGAGCCAGTTGTGGAGTGAATGAGTGAATACGGAATCTCGCCAAACGTAAGATGTAGATACAAAGCAGGCATCTGAACTGGTTATGTTGGGCTCCAGTTGTCATCATTGTCAAATTTAGGGTTATTAATCTTGTGTTCATGAAGAAGCTGTAGATGTAACCCGGGAGATGTCTCTTTTTAGATGATTTATCCTAAACTAGATGAACCATGCCCTGGATGTAAAAGGGATGCAACTAAGACAGAAGTGGGCATCTGCCTTTATCAGTCCCACCGGAAGGACTGGCTGTATGGCTGGTTTTTACAGACTGAACACTGTCATAGTTTTAAGATTGCAAGCCAAACACCATCAGCATTCCTTCAAATCAGTAGGGGTGTTGCACCTTAAGCTACTTGCTTGCAAAACTTTGGGCAGTTAAATGTTTTTGTCTTGTTTTAACCAAATACCCTTTTTTCTCTTTCTTTTTTCCCTGCTTCTGATGACACCATTTTGAAACACTGTTTGTTTTCTCCCATAACTATTAAATACTACTTGTTAACTTACTTACACATCACACGCTGGAGGACTGAGATGCTGATGTGCTGAAATGAGCTTTCTAATTTACCTGTTTTTTTAAGAATTCATTAAGAAATCTGACACAAGCGCAACTATGGGGGTTTGGCGACATGTTCTTCCAAAATGGTGGTATGAGATTAATTATTTGCAGAAGATATTTTATAGTATGTGTGTCTTTGTCCTTCGTTTCTTAGGCTCCCTTTTTCTTCATCATGGCACATTTGAGGTGATAAAGAACACTGACATTGACTTGGATAAGAAGATACCTGAGGATTACTGTCCTTTGGATGTTCAAATTCCAAGTGATTTAGAAGGATCAGCCTATATAAAGGTTTGCCGGATAAACTTTAATAATAGAGCATGAGTTTTGTTCTGTTATTTTTATGCTTGCAACAAAGAACAAACATCAAACAATGTTCTCTTTTGCCTAGGTTTCTATTCAGAAGCAAGCTCCAGACATTGGTGACCTTGGGACAGTCAATCTTTTTAAAAGACCCATGCCAAAATCAAAACCAGGTATAGCTGGCTATACGTTGTTTTCTGAGCACATTCTTAAGAAATGGGTTTGCATCTGATGTTTATTTGAAAACTCTAGCTTGAAAGAAGAGCAAACAAGAATATTCTTATTTAAACTGAAATTTTCTGTGTAGGTGCTGCTTGGGCTTTGGAAAGATGATGCTTTCAAAGTGTACTCCTTCAGTTTTTCATGTGTGTTCACTTAATTTCTGAAATAAAATTACTAGGATTGTATTTTAGGTATTCTGGAGCACCTTTCGTTAGTCATTAAGAGTTTGAGCACATAACCAAAAGCAAACCAAGGTGTTGTGGCTCAACTGGACTAAATGTCCGTTCGCTCTTACCCAAAATGCATCATTTGTTTCTGTGGCTCGTATGTTTTCTTTGAATCTGAAAGTGTGCTGGCAGCATGTGTATTCATTACCAACAGCTCAGCTATTACTGGCAGATAGTAGCTTGATTCATTTGATATATGACAGTATCTGAAGGTGTAAGCCTTTGGGATTAAAAATTCATCCTTAACTCCTCAGGATTAAGCAGAACTGGCAGGATTTTATTTCACAGTGATCTGTGACACAGATGCTCCTGCTGTCTTGAACATAGATAGGATGTTGTATTAAGTAGATGTTTCATGTGGTGTTCAGGGCACAGCATAGAGCTTGCGTACTTACTCAGACCAGAATCTTCCAAGAATTTTGGGCCTATAAATCCTGTAAAAGCGCGTACATGAATTTAACATCATTTGGTGGTTCGTTGTAAAGTGAATTTAATAAAGCTAAAAGTGTCATTGAAAGTAAATTGCAACTACGAAGCAAGACTTCATAAGCAGAGTTCACAAAAGGCCTGGGAAATGTAATAGGCAGTTCCAGAAGGGATGTGCAGTTCACAGTATACATATATGTAAAATTGAAGTAAAACGCGCTAGTGTTATCTTAAAGTGCTTGCTTATCTGAGATAAAATTCTGAAAATACTCAATTTGGGTGGAAGATACTGACTACCTTATCTTAGCAATTACTCATAACTACTGTGCAGTACCTGGTATCTGAAGCTACCTTTATAGCTTCTCTTT